GTCTGACACTGAAACCCCCGGGTGGTTTCTGACCTTCTGGACGCTTGTGGCTGACGTGTGCTTGCCCGGTGCCGCTGTCTGCAGAGCTCCTTCCCGAGCAGGCGCCCGGAGCTGGAGCCTCTGCTTGGAGCTGGGTGAGATCCTAGGTCTGCGGGTCCTGCCTGGTCTCCTGGGTCACCCCGCGGCCGAGCGCAGGCGCCGGGAGGGAGAGCTTGGGCACCACGCAGCTGCCGTGCCAGCTTGCATTTGCTCGTGAGAGAGGACTTCTCTGGGATTTTGATCCTCCTCTGCTTTCTCCCATCTTTGCAGTTCTTTGTTGTGGTTGGGAGCTTGAGTTATTTTGACAGTAAGCCCTGTCGGAGGGTTTATCAGGGGGCTAAAGCTATTTATTGAGTCTGAGTCTCATCTTAAAACAGGTGTAGTCAGGCCTGTGGAACATGGCGGGCAGGACTGGGGCCTAGTCTCAGGGGTCTAAGGCAAGTTTGGCAGCCTGTGGTACGGGGCCACAAGTGGCGTGGGCCATCTGCATAGCACATGGCAGGTCAGTGGGGACGGGGAGTACAACAGCAGCAGACAGGGCAGGGAGTAGAAAACAGCAATCAATTGAGCAGGGAGCAGCAAGCAGAACTGCAGGTGAGGTAGGGGAGGGGGCTGGTGGGGGGCTAATTTGTGTCATGCCTGCCAGAAAAGTTGTCCCCCCCCCCCCCCCCAAACTCATCTGGAGGTCTCTCCCAGTACAATGCAAGCACCTTTTGGGCAGGGACAATCTGCTTGTTCAGAGCCTTGTAGGGACTAGATTTCTTAAGTGCTTTTTTTGTAGTGTAGGTAATGCAAGATATCAAAAACTCTCTTAAGGAAGAAACAGCAAGAGTAGATGTTTGGAAAAATTTTATGAAAATATCCGTTGTATTATATCATGGATCCTATGTTATGTCCTTGAAAAATGCGACTTTAAGCGAAATGATGTTAACTGAATCCAGTTACATCACAGTAGCCACCTACTAGCAGGTGACGTCCAAACAACGATATAACTGAACATTGTGCGACTTCAAACGAGTGTGTTCTCTAATAGATCAGCGATGTAGTAATAATGAAACAACGTTAACCAGGGCGACATTAAGTGAGGAGTACCTGTAATTGCTTCTTTTCCTTTCACACTCGGTGATCACACTGCTATCTCCTTCCCTTCTCTTGCTAATTCTTCCTTATTTCATTATTCTTTTCTTTATGCACTGCTTAGCTCTCTAGTCCTCTCCTGGTCCCTTGAAGACTCTGTCCAGTATCTCAGGTCCTTGTGCTGTAAACCTGATGATGGGTCCTGAGGGCAGCACTGACATTCTGTATCCAGCAGCAAACCATGGAGGCAGTGAGGCTGGCTGGGTGGCTGGCTTTTGGGTTTAATCTGATTTTACAGACCCTTGCTCTCTTCATAAAGATCAGCCTCATGCCTTCAGAAGCAGCTTTGGCATAAGAATGTGCTCCAAATTACTAGCCAGCTTTCCACAAATCCCAAGCCAGCATTCTGTGGAATCAATGCTACAGTTTGAAAGCCACATTCTTGCCGCTGTAAGGGCCTAATTCAGGTTTTATATGAAAGGTATTTGGACTTCCTAATAACTTCCTTAACCAAATGTGTTCTAAACTTGAATTTTTCTGTAGAAACAAGAACATTATTTTTTTTAAAAACAAGGCAACATGACTGTACTGTTGATACAATGAAAACATACTGAAAAGACGGTCTGTTAAAAAGCACCCCTTCTGGAGTTTCAGACTGGAACCTGCTAAAACACGGGTGTAGGGGAATTCATATATTTGCACCTGAGGTGGAAATGGGGGTGGGAGAAGAATGTTTTTCTTCAGTTCTTTAGATCTACCTGCCTCATCTGAATTATTTTGGGGGGATGGGAGGGGTAGCCATATTGATCTGGGGCTATATGATAGACAGCCATTTGGTTCAAGTTGATATCTTTTATTAGACGAACTTGGAGGTGGGTTGATGTTTCTAGCAAGCTTTCAGATAACACGGTATCCTTTTTCAAGTTAAGAGGAGTGCAGAAGGGGGTGACTCACCTGAGACTACTGACAGATTCCCCAGTATACAATCTTACCTGAATTATGGCACTTGTAAGGCATGTGGAGAGCACGTATGACTTGTGTGTTCGTAACAATAGCTTCTTAGTCAGCTAGCCCCACAACTCGATGTTTGTAGACTAAATGTCCTTCTTTGTTTGTAGATATGGCTCGTGGACAACAGAAGATTCAGTCACAACAGAAAAATGCCAAAAAACAAGCTGAACAAAAAAAGAAGCAAGGACATGATCAGAAGGCTGCAGCCAAGGCTGCCTTGATCTATACCTGCACTGTCTGTAGGGTAAGGAGACCTGAAGAAAAAGCATTCCTGTGGGCAACTCTTCCAGCCTAGCATAGGACTTTTATAGGATGAAGTGGTGGAAACGACAATAAAGTAAATATTTCTGTGGTAACAGTGAGTTAAGTGGCTAGTTGCTAGTCATATTTGTATTTACTATGCTATGTACCCCATATAAAAATCCTACAGCTCAGTCAAGTGATAAGTATCACTTAGTTATGAAGATTAGAAATAACAAAGGCCTGCACTTTATAGTTTCCAGGCTTCTATGTTTGCATTTGGTGTGCAGTAGAAAGCTTCAGTCAGAGATCAATTTGTCTTGATTTATAAATGAAAAGTTGCACTTCTGTTTGTGGGGTTGGTCTGTCCTGCTATTGCCAGTTGCAGAACTATACTAGGCACTTTAACCAGGACTTTGTATATAGTAACTTTTAACAGAATAATTGGCTTGACAGGATTTAAGTCCCAAGATTTAAGCAGCTATTTGGAGTACAACTTTCCACCTTACTGGCTCTCCTGAACATAATAGTTTTAGAGATGAAAGGCAAACCTTCCTTTCCTCTTACAGAATGCCTTCATTTTAAAGGGCCTGTCCTAGAAAAAAAAACTGTCACTTTTAATAAACCTTAACTAGAAGCTGCCAAGTTGAGGGCTTCTGGCTTCAGTGCACACACCTACCTCTTAATTTTTGTGAAATAAACCCATTTTTCCTTGCTCTGTAATTAGAAGTTGCCACCTGCACGCGTCTGAAAACAATGGATTGATGTCCTGTGCCATATAATGAGTCAGCAGATGCTACAAATAACTCCTTAAGACACTAAACACTTTATTTTTATTTTATTTTTAGTACCAACAAAGCAAATTGAAGTTAATTGACTTGACAGCTATGTAAAGGAAAAATATTTATTATCCCTTTGAGTTGAAGAAGGAGATAAGGGTGCAGGCCTCCCCCATATCGGGATCTGCAACTAAAATAGTTCTATGATGTGCTTTCAAATAAACCTCTGCAGAGGCACTCAGTCAAAATGAGCACATTGTACTACTCTTCTCTTGGCAGTGACCTAAGACAAGTGGTGTTGGTGAGTGATTCCCTAAAAATCATATTTAAACATCAGAGAGTTCTGGTGCAGAGTAGGGTCAGATGTAAACTGGTAGTGGTAAGCTTAGCGTACAGCTTGGCTAGTCTGCTGAAAGAATTAATACAATAATAATGAATGCGAGATATCTATTTCATCAAGAATACAGGTCCAGCCCTAGTTCCTTCTTAGAGAAGAAAATTTAGGTTTGAAATTAGGAAGAGCAGTTTGGTGTACTTTTATTCATCTTTTCTTCAATGCATAAACTTAAATGCCTTTTTTTTTTTTTCTTTTCTCGCCCCTTTAAATCAGACACAAATGCCAGACCCCAAGACCTTCAAACAGCACTTTGAGAGCAAGCATCCTAAGACTCCACTTCCTCCAGAATTGGCTGATGTTCAGGCATAAGGTTGTCCACAGTTGTTACATGGTTTTTAAATAAGTGGATTTGACAGATGGCTGTAACCATAAATCATAATATGGGTTCGACATATCGGCCGGCTGAGACCTGAGGATTCCTTCATTTTTTTTTTTTTATTTTTTTTTTTTTCCTACAGTAAAAGTTTAACTAGTGGCACGTCCTTAGACTACTAAGTATCAGAAGCACTTTAATCTTTACTAGTGCAGCAGAAGGGACCTGGCTCTTGATCGAGTTATTGACACCAGCTTAAATGAAAAAACAACCTTGAATGTCATGGTACAACTAATGAATGAAGTATTTGCCTTGAAACAAATGATGTACGTTTTGTCCAAAGCATTCTTATTTTACCTCTTGCCATACAAGACTTAATGGAACTGGGGGCTGTTTAGTGGATGGCCATGTAAGGCTTCTTATATTGCATAGCATAAAGGATGTGCCCTAAATGTGAATAAATGCAGACTTTTCTACATGTGTAGAGGGGGAAAAAATTCTTAAGAGACTCGGGTAGCTAAGGCAATGTTACATAATAGCAAGAAAGCCTCAAACGGTTTGTTACAGGACTGCAGTACCATAGTTTTCATTCATGGGAACTAAGCAAAAGATAGACCGTGTTATGCAACAGTTCAGCTTAACTGCGTTATTCTTGTTTTTTAGGTGAATTCATGGCACCTATTGACTCTTCTACTGTCAGACCTTACATAACAAACCTGCAGCTGCTTTTCTAACAAACTGTTGATCAACAAATATGAAGGGGCTACAGAAACATTCATATTTTTATGCTGTTCCCTCTTGGGCTTCATGCAAAGACAATTCTGTGTAAATGTACAGTTCTGCCCTACTTGGAAATCCTGAAAATCAGTCCATACTTGTTATAAAAATTTTTTACAATTGTAATTATATTGATGTTCATATTGTGTAAAATAACTCATTTAATAAAGTAGTACTTTGATTTTTACAATATCACAGGTTAAATGCTTGTAGAAATTCTGTTAAACTTTCCACATTATCTGCCTTATGAAGTCCTAATGAAGACAAAGTAGAATTCTCCCCATCCCACCAAAAATTGGAATGGTCTCATTCTACTGAAAGTGATGCACATCATAATAAGTTTGATCTAAGAAAAGAGGGAAACTGCTTGTATATTTACCTTTGTGTGCTACCAGCTTGAGTCAAGAAACTTAAATCTTTTGATGATAGCTCAAGTGGCATAGCCAGCTCTTTAGAGCTGCATTAGAGTCATGAAACTTCTACTTCTTGTTCCATGTATTGGGGAGTGTCAGTACTACAAGCCATTTGGAACAGGGTTCCTTTATTGTAAGGGAACTTGTTCCTTAGAGTCATGCACTGGAGAGACTCTTGCTAGACAAGTAAACCTTAATATTTGGTAGACAGCTGGCAGAGCTTGAGAGTTAATAACATCTAACAATCTCTGGCATGCTGGTTTGAATACAATTAGCAAATGCTATATCAGGTTGAAGTAATTCTGCTTTTGGTTGTAAAATTTAATCTAAAAAGTTAGTGAATGCACATAACTAGTCAGTCGCAGGTTTCCCCTCAAATGTCTCTGACTGTTTCTGTAACAACTTTGCAAGAGGATACAAACTAAATAGTGGTATTTTTCAACTAACTTTAAAGTTAGTCTGTTTCTTCCCTTTCCAACAGGCTAACTAGAAATGACATAGCTAGTTAAGCTTCAGTCAGTTCTGACTTACACTTTTCCTCGATAAAACTTATGTAAAATTGAACACACCCAGCCAAGAGCACTTGAGAAAAGAGCTTTAATAATTTAGCTCTTATGATTATGATTTAATAATCATTTAGCTTTAATAATGTGTAATTTGGGCTAGATTCTAATCTCAGATGTGAAAAAGCATTGCTAGTATATTTCAGAGTGCTGCCTGAGGATCTACAGTACAGTAGGACATCCTAAAAGCATATGGTCTAGGATTACCTAACAGTCACTCTTCTGAAATTGATTGCAGTGAGGGACAGTCATACTGTGAATGAGGGACATGTATTCATAGTATGAATTTCTCAGATTTGTTATTTGTCCTTGCTTGTAACAGGTCTTTCATTTCTGGCAGATCAAATAACTCCTGCTACATGATTGGACTCTGCCTGACTTCCCAATGGTTTCCTAAAATACAGGACCATATTCTTGAAGAGTGATTTACTTAAAGGAATGCATGAAACAGATGGTACTTATAATATATCAGTCAAAGCCTTTGTCTCTGTCCACCTATTTACCCTTTAATTTAGCTACTTTTTGGAGGTTAGCCTTCTAGCCATCTTACTATAACTGCAAGGCGTATTTCTGTAAATGTTCACTTTGGCATGAAATTCAACTGCGTTATAGTTGCTCTGGGATAACCTGTATACCACTCTACCTTTTTATAGATCTTGCTATTGAGAATAATCCACTACTGCACTTGCACACCTGACATCAGAATGTAGCCCTTCATTTATTTCCTTTTAATGTTCTAAATCAATCCAATAATTGTATCTTGACAGACTGACTCCCAGGAGGCAAGAAATCTTTCAACTTTGTCCTGTTGGGGTACTTAAGTGTTCTGACTGTGTAGCTTGTCTAAGGAATGAGTATACACCAAGCAAGATGTTTCTTGCACTGATTGATACTTGGTAATCTGCTTTTAACCTGAGACTTATTTTGGGATGCATCCTTAAAACTCAGTCCTAAAACAAAGCACATGTTCTGTTGCTTGAATTCCAATTTGTGTAGCACCAAATAAAAATGACTTTGTTTCATAACAATCTCAGTTAACAAGCAAATAAGCGGAAAAGCTGCATTATGCTGGTAGGACATAACTTGCTTGCATAAGAATCTTTTGCTGTATTTTCAGTACTGTATGACTCTTTAATATGAAAGTATCAGTATCAACTCTTTCTGTTACAGAGTAGAAGGTGTGGGTGATCTTCTATTCTATTAAAATTCCTACTTGCAGCTGTTACAATCTGACATATTGTAATAACCTGATCAGTAAAAACATCATGGAATTGTTTTGGAAACTCAAAAGTGCAGGACTAAATGGGGGAATTGTCCTCATTGGTATTACCTGCACATGCTTGTATTGATTTAAAAGGATGCAGGTAAGGAGTAGGTGAGATCCTCTGCTCTCCTGATCATATGGATGACACCTTGTTAATTCCGGCTAAAAAGACACTGTTGTGCTTTGTAACGTGTCTGATTAAAGACGATTTAAAACCTAAAGTGCAAAATGTGATTTCCTGCCTGTTAAAAGCAAGTGTCACTGTACTTTTCATACACAAATTTTTTTGGTGATGCCTGGACAACCTTGAAGCTTGATGCAATTGACTACAAAAATTAGATATGGTAGGGCAACATTTATACATTATCCTATGAGCTCTAAATGAACTTGTCAGGGGTTGCTAAGAATATTGTAACAAGCATTTGTAGAAAGAAGTAGTTAGCTTGTTCATCTCTGAATCAATTGGTCTGTTATGTGCATCTGTACATTGCCTTCTGCCAGATTTTTGTAGGGTAAAGTTTTGCAAATGGAACAAAGGCTCAGATCCTCAAAGGTACTCGGCTATCTAGTCTTTCCTTGGGACTTAAGTGCTTCTGCAAATATGAGTATTTACTACTCATGACTTAATTCAGAGGTGACTGAATATTCCTAATGGTAATGCTAAATCATTCAGGCAGTGAACCTGATTTCACAAAATAGAATTAAAATGTATAGTTGGCCAATCCTAGGGACTAATAGTTCCTTCCCTCCCCTCATCGCACTGTAAATATCCACCTGCATGAAGACGAATCCCTGAAACAATCCAAATAGTTTAATATGTAGACTTAAGCAATACTGCAGGACAGAGGAGGGATATAATGCTCCGGAAATTACTTTAAAGACTTCCCCCTACCTGTTAATTATTTTGTTGTAAATTGCAATATTCTTGGTATAAAAGTTGTATAGCAATGAACAGATCGCCAAGACTCCATAAACTTGATATTCAAATGCACTTCTTGTCATCCTTTCTGAAAATGAACAGATAAAAAGTACAGCTTATGTATCATTCAAATGTGAGTCAAGGTTTAAGACTAGTTTAGCCTACTTGTTTTTTTTAATTAAAGTGAAAGTTTAGACAGTGTCTACCTTTGTCAAAAGTTGTAGCACATGAAAGGTCTGCCCAGTAATGCTGACTCCAGTTAAAGAATGAACCAAAGTCAGTGGCCAATTTGTGTACGTCCTCACACTACCCTGCTTCTGAGTTTTCTGTGGAAGAGCTTCTGTATTCTACAATATTCAGGGCTTTATGGTATACCTCTTCTGGACTTTAAAGACTTTTCATTCACTTGTATCGAACATGTCTGTGGCCTTTGGATATTTAGTACATGCTATTATGTATTTCATGGTACCACCAGAAATGCAATTCAAGCCCAAATAATGGGGAAGAATATCAAAGGTCCTGCCCATGCCTTTAGAAATTTGCTAGCAGCAGCAATAGTTTTAAAATGTTATGAGTCTTTCTGTTTGTATTTAATAAGGTTTTGACTACCATCATTTTAGGAACTCTGTCAAAGATCTGTTGCTCTGCCAGTAAGTATTATGCACTGTATATATAAATGTAAATGAACTTGGGCTGAAATTATAAGAGTTGAAACTTCTAAGTTTTTTTTTTTTAATTTAATGGATGATTTATTGGTATCAATTTTTATGGTCACTAACATTAGTTGGGGTCTGATTTTCAGAAAGTATTTGGACACTTGCCCTCTGGAAATAATCTTTTCTCAATTTCAGCACCAAAACTGTAGTCTTTGACTTTTGTGGGCACAGCCAACATGCTCCCCTCATTCTTAGCTGTTAGTTTACATTCAGGTTTTTAATTATCGTATTTTCTCGCATACGATACACACCTTTCCCCCAAAAAATAAGCTCCCCAGAATTGGGGGGGGTGGTGTTTTAAGTGTAAAGGCTGACTCTTCAGCCTGGAATGGAAGATCCCCCTTTTATTCCTGCTCCAAAGCCTAACAGTATCAGTGGAATTTCTTTTCAGGCAGCTGAGAGTCAGTTGATTTAATGGCTGATTGTTCTTTACTCCGCAGGTGTTAACAGTTGACTTTCCTTTTCAAAGGTCTTGATGTTCCACTAGTCAAGCTAACTGTCCTACTGGCAACTGTGCTGTCTGCTAGCTACTCCTGGTCTCTCTCCTCCTATTCATAGCCTTGCACTTTTCAGTTCTGTCCCTGCTCTATACAGCCATAACTCTGAAAGTCTTCTTTTGCTTCAGTCTGCCTTCCTGAAAATGATGTGGTTTTTTTATTCTGAAATGTGTTGTATGAAAAAAAAAATGATGTGTCAACTACTGGCTACCTTGCATAGAAATATGAAGCTGAAGATTGATCCTACTTCACAGCAGGTAGGTCTAACTACGTAAACCAGGGGTTCTCAAACTGGGGGTCACAACCCCCTGGGAAGTCTTGAGCATCTCAAAAAATTCTCTTCCCTTTCTAGAAGTGGGGAGCGAGGCCGCCACTGCAATCAAGCACTTCGTGCCACTGCCGTGCACCACTTCCTCACACCCCGCTCGTTGACTGGCTGGACTTGGGAGCATGGGTCCCCAGCAGCAGGATGCCCAGACTTGGGTGTGAGGAAGTGGCACGCAGCACGTGGTGGCAGCCCCACATCACCACTTCTAGGGAGGGAAGAGAAGTTTGCAACCCTCTTGTCATGGTATCAAAAAGTCTGAGAACCCATGATGTAGACTATTCCTGACATGTTTGTGTTTTTAAAAACGTTGAAGGACAGGGAGCCCACAGTCTCCTGGGGTGACTTGTTCCAATGCTAAACTATACTTTTAGGTTATAAAGCTTTCCTTAATACTTAATCTATAATCTTCCTTGCTGCCAACAGACATAGAAACTAATCACAGTTACCTTTACCACATCTTTTACATATCAAAGCCTGGTTATAATGTCTCTTGGGCTTTCGCTCTTTTCTCATAGGTCATAGTTTCCAAACCTTACACTGTTGCTTTCCTCTGGCATGTCTCAAGTTTGTCCTTATCTTTGTTAAAGTTTGGCGTGGAAAACTAGGCACAGTATTCCAGTTGAAGCATCACTGGTAGAGTGGAACAGTTACATTATCACAGTGAGGCAGAAACTATCCCAGAAAAAATGGTTATCTTTTTGTGGCAGCAGCACAATGTTGACCTGTACTGAGTTTATGGTCCTGTTCAGTTTAACCTCCAATTATTTCTGCAAGAACAGTACAGCAAGCTATTTCCTAGTTTTGGGGTATTTGATTTCTCTTTAAATGTAGCATGTTTTTCCCTCTTGTTTTCAAAACATTTCTCCAACTTACCATGTACATCATAATTTTATTCCTGTCCTGCAAACTTCTTGCAACCTTTCCCAGCATGGTGTCACCTGCAACTTTTATAGGTGTATTCTCTATTCCATCCTGCAAGTCATTAGCAAAAATATTGACTATAGCTGGACTCAGGGTAGAAACCTGCACACGGGACTTTGAAATGCTCTCACATCTTTGCAGGAAGGCATTCAAAATTACCCTGAGTGCAAATTCATCATTTGTGCGTTTCCCTTAATTTTATCTACAGCATATTTTTCTTTGATTGCATATGAGTCTGTCAAAAGTCTTAATTTCAGGAAATGATATTACATCTATTACTTTCACCCTTTTCCATTTAGCCAGTTACTCCATTGAAAAAAATTAGATTGATTTGGTTTGACACAATTTATTCTTGATAAATCTATATTGGTTGCTTTTTAATGCCTTATTTCTCTAGGTGCTCATAAATTGATTGTTTAATAATTTGTTTTTGTATTTTTCCAGGTTTTGCAGTTAGGCTAACTGGTCATTAATTCTCCAGGTCCCCATTTTTATAGATAGTTATTATATTTGCCATTCTCCAGTTCCCTGAGCTCTTTCCCAGTCTTACATGACTTCTCAAAGATAACTTTATAGTGCAGAGTAGTAGTCTAAAGCATTCTGTAGTGAATATCATCAGGCCCTGCCAACTTGTATACATCTTACTCATTTAAACCTATTTTACTTCTATTCTAGGCTTCTTTCCTCTTAAAATTGTGTTAAGTAACTGGTCATAAGAAGCTTCTTTTTTTTTTTTTTTAAGATGAGCGAAAAGGCCTCCAATGTGTCAGCCTTCTGTGGTATTTATTTGTTCTCCTTTCCTGTGAAGTAATGGCCCTACATTTTCCTCTTACTTTGACATATTTAATGGTTACTTTAGCTGACTGCTTTGTATGTCCCATATTAGCTATATATTCGCAAATGCTGAAGATGATAATGTCCAAGTTGACTTTTGAGCCATCTAAAAACTACGTACATTAATGTACTGCCAAATGTGGCCAGCCACAGTGGGCTGTTTAAACCAGATTGAAAGATGCTCAGACTAGCCTTTTCAAATATTTAACATAAGTGGTTCCTTTGCAAAGTAGTGAAGGGTTGCCAACCCATGTTAAATGCAGGTTTGGTTAGCTTTATGTTCAGTCATTGTTCTGAAGTTGTACCTAAGGGCCACTACAGGTGGGGATACAATGTCAAACTGCCACCCTTGAAGTGATGTCAGGTCTAACAAATCGAGCAACAGAGCAGTTCACCTGTCTGCCCTGCACCTTCCTCTTTGAATACTTTGCCCAGTGTAAAAAGTACCAAAGCTGTAAACAGCTTGTGGTGATGACCCTGCAAGAAAAAGTTGTCAAGCTGCAAACTCTCCTTCCCCCTCAACCCAAAAGGCATAAACTGTTTATATTTACTTATTCTTTCAGACCCCTCTCATCCCACCAATAAATCTTTCTTCAGGAAAGAAGGCTTACCATAGGTGTACCATGATGCCAATAAAATTCCAACATGAGTGAATACAAGAGAGCAAAAAATAGATATCCTACCTGGGACTGAGCTAATCTCTTACGAAGCCATTTTCAATGTCCTAAAATTGTGTAGCAGGTATTTGATCAGTGCTAAATAGAACATGGATCTAAGTTTACTCTTTGCACTGCTCATTTTGACCATACCAACCTTTTAAAAAAAAATTTCTGGTTTTCAAAGCTTTCCTTAAATCCTCCTTACCTAACCATCCTCATTTTTTTTTCCACGTGGACACCTGCCCCTCCCATCCCACAATAGATCTTTCTTCAGGAAAGACGACTTACCATAGGTCTACCATGATGCCTATAAATAGCTAACTAGTAATAGCACATTTGATGGAAAA